TATATATATATATATATATATATATATATATATATATAATTTGTATACATATCTCAAATGCATATTAATTTGTTTTATTTTATGTTAAATAATAAATAATATTTAGGTAAAAGATACCCGAATAGATATTTTAAATTGGATAGATATAATATGAATATTTAAAATTTTTATTTTATAAATAATAAATAAGATATAAATATAGTAAAAACTCAAATCAATAAATATGCTTTGTCATCTCTGTGCTAGTAATATCATGTCATAAAGTTAAACAATATGAAGTAACAAATCATTTAGTAAACGGATTAAGAAAAATCTTAAGCATCTCGTGACTTAATTTTTATAATTTAGATTAAATCAATGCTACAATTTGTTAACCTGTTATGAGGAGTAAACTTTGCCAATAAGAATGCTCCTGGTTATTTTATAAGATTTTAAAGCCTAAACTTCTATTTTGCTATGGACTCTCCTACTAGGCCTCTTCGAGCCCTCCATTTTTATGGCCCGACTGGAAAACTCACGGCACCATGGAAATTCTAACGGCTGCGTAAACTCGATTGCAATATTGCTGCTGAACCAGTACTGGACCCTCCATTGATTCTGATATGTTTTTTATACCAGTACTTTGTAGATGATTCATGGGCTTTTTATTTATTGGCCAGACTATGTTGATAAAAAAAATCATTTATTTTATTTTATAACGTGATTGATGTTTTTGATAAAATCTGAGTGGTATTTACACAAAAATATAATTCAAGGACTCATTCTCAGTAAACTCCACAGCTAATATTGCTCAAGTAATTTCAATAAAAACTACAGTGTACTGACGTTGAGATAAACTGCTTGTCAGGTGGGCTTTTCATCAACAGCTGAATCTGGAATCAGGAAAGATTTGGGCCTTTCGGTGTCAGAAGTTAGTGCTTTTCATACTCTAATTTATTCATTTTTAGTTTGAGAAAAATAAGAGATCCTTGAAGTCCTGTTATCAGTATCGGTTTAATAACCGATTTCGTTGATTTATCTAATTAACCTGTGGTTCAATAAATTAATTTAAAATTATTTTTTGGATAAAAACCAAAAGAAATTTTTAAAGTTTACTTTGTCAGGTTTAGTTAGATTTAACCAGATCAGTGATTTGATTTATATTTAAAGTTTACCAGATCAGTGATTTGATTTATATTTAAATCTAACTGATTTAAAGTTCAATTTGATTGAAAAAGAACCTTGATCAGACCATATTATGTTATCATATTGACTTTTATAAATATGCTTCAATAAATCTGAAAATAGTATTTAGAAATGTAATAATAATGATTTTTTAAAATATTTTTTGTTTAGAAATATATTAAAAAAATATTTTTTAACAATATTTTTAACATTAACATATTAAAATTTTTTAAAATAAAATAATATTATTAATTTTAAATAAAAATAATTAAATTTTTATGAAATATTATTTAAAACGTAATTCCAAACAACGAATTAAATATAAATAATTTATTTTGAAGCATTAAAATTATCATGTGCACATGGATGGCCGGTCTCACGTAACACAAACATATTGGAACAAATCCATTGATAAAATCTCTATTCCGGTTAAGATGAAGTAAATCATTCATGCAAATATTCTTGTCCATGGAAACTATTATTTGGTTATTAAGATTCTAATACTATCTTAAAAAATAAGATCCCAGGATATATTTTATATTTTATAGAACTATTTTAACTTAATAATTTAAATTATTAGATGAGGTCCCATGATATGATTTATATTATTCTTTAACATATCTCTTTAAGTGAAAGCTCTTTAACCTTGAAACTTGCACAGGTTCATATTACTTTATACTTAATTTTTATCAAATAAATAGGAATAATGAGATTCAAACTCGTGACCGCTTGGTCATTAAGAGTCTAATACCATATTAAAGAATCATCTCATCTAAAAATTTAAGTAATTAAATAAAATTTTAGAATATAATTTATATTATTCTGTAATATTTTCTACGAAATTGATGGATGTTTCTAATTTCCCTTCACATTTTGCAGTACTCAGTTTTTGGTTCAATAATGACAATCGGAGGAATGATCGGCGCGATTTCAAGTGGGAAGATTGCAGATTTTATTGGCCGAAAACGAGTAATTAATTAATATACACATACCTGCACAGGATTTCAACTCCACAAAATTAAATTAAATTAAGAAGCCTTTAATCCATTCATATTAATTTGGTGTTCTTCTCAAGCAGACAATGTGGCTATCTGAAATATTTTGCATCCCAGGATGGCTCATAATAGTGTTCGCTAAGGTTTTCCCCCCCTCCTCTTAGCACCCAATTTTTTTTTCAACATGATGTAACACCGATCTTTGATTTGTGCTTGAGAAATTAATCATTTCATGTTTATATTGTTTCGAAAAATATTCTTTAATATGATCAATAAATTTAATTTTTTATTTGAAGGATGCTTGGTGGTTGGATATTGGAAGACTATCGATTGGAGTTGGAGTTGGGCTTATTACATATGTGGTAATTGCATAGGTTTCGAAAATTACCACCTGATTCATATATATGTATATGTGTGTGTGTGTGTGTTTATTGCGACGTATTTTTATATTTTATTTACAAAATTCTAAAATGAAATGGAATTTTATGGTCATTCTTCATGACAGGTCCCAGTATATATCGCAGAAATAACACCCAAGAATCACAGGGGAGGATTTACATCAGCTCAGCAGGTAAAGCTAATTAATGCCCTGTCGATGATCAAGTATAATATCCAACAGTCTGGTTTTTATTCCCTTTTTTCAATGTGTTTAGTTGACGTTAAGTCTCGGCTTCGCCCTTGTGTATTTCATTGGAAATATTATTTCTTGGCGTGCTTTATCTCTGATTGGTAAAGTTTCTTAATCTTCTTATGAATTCAATCTACAAAGTAGTTTAGAGATTAGTATTATTTAATGTATTGACCGGATCTTGTTTTCAGTTCTTATTCCATGCATGCTGCAACTTGTGGGTTTATTCTTCATTCCAGAGTCACCTAGATGGTTGGTGCGTTCAATTTGTTACTGCTTTGTTTCAAATTTTCATAGTTATTAAACCCAATACAGGGTTGACTCAAGTCCAGCACAAGATCCATGTTATGGGTAGGCAAGTTGAACTATGTCAATCAGTTTATATATATATAAAATAAAGGTAAAAACTATTGAGTTCTAACAAAAACAACTAAGTTGTGAATTCTCCCGTCAAGTTATTCAAGTCAATTGCAAGGTTTTTTTTTTTTTTTAATGTTTGATGGGGTTAAGAAGTGAGATGGGTTGACCAAATTATGAAATTAATAACCTATCAAACCGAGCCGAGTTGAATAATAGTGCAAATTTTACTTCGGGGTGCATTTGAAACATAAAATGAAGAGTAAATTGTCCTACAGGCAAAACTTGATCGCAAGAAAGAGTTTGAGACTACTTTGCAATGGCTTAGGGGAATGAATGTTGATATTTCTCAAGAAGCAAATGATATCAGAGTAACATTTCAACTTCATTTCTCTACTATTTATGAATTGAATTGTATTTTTGTTTTTTTAAAAAATCATTTGACAAATAATTCCATTGTTTTATAGGATACTATAGATATCTCTCAGCACAACTCAAAAGCTAAATTTCTGAGCTTATTTCAGAGGAAATATGCTTATCCAATAATTGTAAGTGTAGAGTAATCCTTCCTTTTTTCGTTTTATTTTCATAAATTATTTTTCTTCATTTTTTATAACCAATCAACTTTCTTAATTCCGATTATTTAAATTGATGAGGTTGGAGTAGGACTAATGGTATTGCAGCAATTTGGAGGAACTAGTGCTGTGGCATATTATTCTAGCTCTATATATGTTAAAGCTGGTACGTTGTCGCTTGCATATTATTCACAGCGTGACTTGTGCTATGTTTGATGCATGCGTAAGAGGTGACATGAAACAATTCTTTTCTTTTCAAAATCTACATTTCTGTCTCACTTTCGCCTATGAGACATCCTAGTCTTGTTAATTTAGTCTAAGTTAATCTCATTTGCTCATTGTTAAGTGCCTCAATTTAGTATTTCTGATATAGAAAATGAACTATGAAGATGGCTAAGTGATGGATTTGCTTGGTTTTACCTAGATTTTTCAACTGTCATTGGTACTACAACGGCAGGCATTATGCAGGTATTTTCCTGGTGTTTTTTTCTTAGATTTTATGTGGGAAGCAAGTTTAATGGCTTTGTGTGCGTAGATCTTAGAATGTAGATGATTTTTTTGCAGATCCCAGCGTCCATTGCTGGTGTGCTCTTGTTGGATATATCTGGAAGAAGAAGACTTCTTTTGGTTAGAAATTCAGATGATAACGATTTCGTTTTAAAAAGTTTGAAATGATCATATCATTTGTAATGAAAGTGTACGAATATTTGCAGGTTTCTGCCATTGGAACGTGTTTGAGTTTAGTCCTCGTTGGGTTGTCATTCCTCTTGCAGGTTTAATCAAATTTAGATTTGTGTTTCAACCATAGTACTGTTGCAAATGCATCAATGGTTTTATTCTTGCATTTTATTCAAATTTTGGCATGTCTTTCAAAACTATTTAGTTATTAAAATTTATCTGGATCGGCCCAACTTAGTATGATATAAAAAAAATTAATATAAAATTAATTTAGTAAATTTATTATTAGTTTATCTAATTAAAATTTAGTTTAATTTATTTTATTTTATTTTACAAAACAATATTATTTTAAATTTAAAAAATTAAAATAATATCATTTTGATTAATTTAAGATAATTTTTTAAACTCAAAAATTAAAATAATATCATTTTAATTAATTTAAGATAATTTTTTAAACCCTTGCGAGCCCGGTAATGAGCCCATTTAATAACCATGAAATTTACTTTTCCTTTTTATTTTTTTTATGACCAGGAACTGCACTATTTGAAAGAGCTTACTCCGATTTTGGCATTTATTGGCTTATTGGTAAGTAATTCAGTCCAGATTAAAGCCATGTTTTCCATCCTTAATTAGCTTATGTACAATTTCTTTAATTTATCATATTTTCTCCCTTCTTCGCTTAATTACTAGCATTTGCTTTGCATTTATATAATAGTAAGGAAGCAAATCAGTCTTTTTTCCACACAAAATGTTCGTGTTGTGATCCAAGTTTCCTTCTCATTTCTTTGACGTTGCAACCAGGGTTACGGTGTTACTTTTGCAATAGGCATGTCAGGAATACCTTGGGTTATAATGTCAGAGGTACACACATATCTTCTTAATTGATGAACATCTTCTTATAAGGTTTTGAAGCTTAAATAAATTAAGGAGATTTTGTTGCAGATATTTCCTCTAGATGTGAAGGCCTCAGCTGGAAGTTTAGTGACTTTAGTCAATTGGTCCGGCTCTTGGATTGTGACATACTCGTTCAATTTTATGATGGAGTGGAGCTCGACAGGTGAATTACTCTCACTTTCCTGGCGTCTCTGCAGCACACAGAGACAGTTGAAGTCAAGTAATTAATTGTGTTGTCTATGGTGGCTATTATTTTGTAGGAACTTTTTTCTTGTTCGCCACTATATGTGGTGTAACAGCCTTGTTCGTTTGGAAGTTGGTGCCTGAGACTAAAGGACGGACATTGGAAGAAATACAGGCAACCATCACTCATTTTCCATCCGATGTCTGCTAAGAAGAGAGAGAGAGAGAGAGAGAGAGAGAGTATTGGCCAAATCAGTATAATTAAATCAATTGCGGATATTTGCGTCTATTTCAATAAAAATAACCTTAAAGGGGAAACTTATGTTCGGCATTTAAAAAAAAAAATCAAATTGCTATGTTGTATTAATTTTTTTTCATATTTATATATTTTTTTCAATAAAATGGGTTGGGATTCAATTCCACAGATAAATAAAAATATCTAACAAAAATATAGATTAAAGATATATATTACTTTCATATTATACACACACCCGCACTTTCATACTAAATATCATTAGTTATTGCATGCATTCATTTTAAAAAGAGAGAATTACATAATTATATATAAAAAAAATCATAAATAATCACATTAAAATTGATGATAATATCTCAAATTAGGTGTGATAACATGTTTCTGGGTTATTCTTTAAATTTATTTTTCCTTTTCAAATTAAAAATTAAAAAATAAAATAATGATAATAAGAAAATCAGCATTTTGAAAATAACAAGAAAAAAACCAAACTATAATTTTGGATACAATTAGAAGCCTAATTTTACTTCTATTTTACCCATTTTGATGAAATCAAGGGTGAAATTTAAAAAATTTAAAGTTTAATGGTCAATTTACATAAATTCAAGATCAATGACTAATATTAAAACGACACTAGAATTCAAGGCTGATATTGTAATTAGATAGGGGTAAAATTGTATTAAATTAAAAATTTAGAGTCAATTAAGGGTTTAATTGCATTAAATAAAAAAGGGAGAAGAAGTGGTCTTCGATCCACCCATTTTTTACTTCACTTGTGATGGCGCATGAGTTCATGCACTATCAATGACAGTGACATGTTAAATCGATAGTGACATATTAAATCTATGTGTCGCCGCTATTTTTGTAATTCCAGGGGGTTCCCAGCATTACTGTATTCTAGCAACTTCTTTAGATTATTTTGTGAATTTTAAGGCTTTCTCTCTTCTTTTTTTTGCAAATTTTAAAAGTTTGATGTTTGTTTTATGTATTTTTTTATTTTTGAATTATTATTGTTTGTAAACATATAATTATAGGGTGTGTAAGTAAAAATATAATAAAAAGAAGATGTGTGTGTGTATTCTTTTTATTCATTTTGTGTTAAATGGATGATAAAAAAAAGGTAGAAAAGATTAAAAAAATTAATTAACCCAAATGTTTTAATTTGCATATGGCCAAGTCTCTTAAAAATTTTAAAAAAAATTATATTTGGCTTAAAAAATAAAATACACGGTGTGTTTTAGTATTTTTTATACAAAATTTTTAAATAAAATATTTGTGTGTATTTTGGATTTAATAACCAATTTATTGGATTCATGAAAACTTGGCTCAATATTTCAATAACTCATAAATTGTAATTCATGAGAATTAATGGTCAAGATTCTAGTATAAAATTGGACATATAAGTAAGTTGATATTTAAATATCAAGAATTGACTATAAAATTCTTAAAATTATTTTGAATATTTACCAATTTTAATTGAAAATATATTTTTATCACAACAAACAAGTTTTGAAAAAACCCTTTCATTTTATAAGATAGGTGAACCCTATCAGACCACCTACATGAATATTTTCTCATAAGAATTTATTTAGGCATATAAGTTCATAATAAATTTAAAATATCAAATTTGTTTGCATGAGTGAATATTTACCCCAAGCCATACAAATGTCAGTTAGAAACCTATTAAAATCTTTAAACCATATTTAGATCATACAATATAACTTATCTCAGATATGATGGGGTAGGAGTACTAATGTTTTTACTAGCTACAACCAGTCTGTTAACTTTAAAATTTATAGTGAGATTAGTTCATTCAAATTTTCAAGCGATCCCAAACTAAATAATAAGGTGGCAACCTCTTAACACCTTTGATGTCGTGAGTTTATGTATGATACAATTAAAAATCAATTGAATATAATAAAATTAAAATTAAAAAATAACAAATAAAAGTTTTTACAAAAAAATCAATGTTAAAAGGGACCAAACCAATTACAGGTATATGTGGCCCAGCGCATGTGCCACTTTACCTTGGCATGTTGCCTCTACAAACTTGCATATGCATTTCCAATGCACAATTACATGTGCTTGTAGTTCCCATTTGTTTACTGCGTTTCAAACCGCAATTGCAATTTAAATAAAAACTAGCTAAAATCATATTTTTTATTTTGAATTGCAATTTCAAACATAACATTTGCCATGTAGACAAACGAGTTAATAGTAGCTTTGAAGCTTTAGCCTTTTGCATTTGATTACGGTATTAATACAAAAGATTACTGCAAGAGATTCTTTCCTTAATTAATAAAACGATACAATTCCTGTGTTCCATGGGCTCTCTTCCTTGATAGATAAAAGGCTTAGTTTATGATTCAGATTTGCTTTATATATATGCACAAGATAGAATAGGTTATGTGAACGTATAGGAAAGGACGTAAGAAACCATTATATATATATATATATATAATTGGGAATTATATACATTTATAGGGGCGTAGTAGTCTCCATCTAAAATCTCCAATAAAGTTTTTTTTTGCTCCAAGAGCTTGTCATTTTATGCTGTCCACAGAACAAGCACAAGCGCTTTGTAGTGTGAAATTATGACAGGAAAAGAATTATTTCTCTTTCGTGATGTCAACTTCAAATTGGAGGATGAGGGTCCATCGGTTAACAGGCTGGCTAATCAGGAATGGGACATGGAAATTCTCTCTAGGTCTCTCTCTCTATGCCTATATATAGATGCTGTTTGGAAGTTTGCTTAGGTTCAATGCAACTATCATTACATCATAATCATGATCTATAGTGAGAGATTAGTGAAACTTATTTGCCCTTTGATTCGTTTTCACTTCTTTACCCCAGGAACAAAGGCAGTTAATCAATCCCATAATACTGAGGTCACGAATTTCCAACTCCTTAACTTATTACATGTGCAATTAATAGCTTTATAATAAATGGAGCATATGTCATGGAACCATTTTTCTTGAACTTGTCGAAGGCTTGAATTAATTGGACCCATTAAAGTCAGTGGATCTAAATATCTTGTAATGAAGTTAATGCATTTGGGCAATTGATCTCAGCTGTTATCTGCCTTGAAAAATCAAGAATAAATGAGGTCTAACTACCTTGTTCACATCGATAATTTAAAAAAAGAAAACTAAAAGAAATAAGTATTTTAGTGTATATCAGGATATATTTTATTGTAAATTAGAACAATAAAATAATTATTTAAAAAAAACAAAATTATTTAATAAGTTATTGAGGTGGCTTTTTATATAATTCATTTGTCATTAATATATTAATAAGGACAAGTTGAACATTTTATATGAACAAGAAAATGATTTAAATAATTTTACAAGCACAACAAAACAAATGATTGAATAGTATATTTAAAAAAACTGTTCTTGAAATCTGAAAAATTAAAACTGATATCGAGAGATATTCTTGTATTTTCATCATTTTTTTTTGTTATAATCAATTTAAATGAGGAGTAATTTAGTTTTTTAACAAATATGAATATAATTTAAAAAAATAAGAGACGCACAAGCTATTTTGACATCACGAAAAACACCTTTCGGTTGTTAAATGCTGCATTCCATGATTAAATTTAAAGCATTAAACCATCCTTTTTTAATTGGTAAGTCGTGTATGGACAACAGAGTAATGGTTAGGTTTCAATAAAGTTTTTTTTTATCTCCTTTCTCTTTACTCATCTTGAATTTCATGTAATCCCTTTTAGAAATTAAATATAACTTGTTAGTTTATATTTGTATCAATTTTGATTTTTATTATTTTGATTGCTACTTATTTTGTTTTTAATATACTTTTTGAAGTTTTTTTTTTAATTTCACCCCTTAACATTTTATTTTATTTAATTTTTATATCCAATTTGGTTATCATTCTTTTGATTGCTTTTTTTTTTGTTATTTTTTAGATTTTTTTCAATTTCATCCCTCAACATTTTATTTCATTTATTTTTTTATCCAATTTGGCTCTTATTATTTTTATTGGTTTTTTTATTTTCTTGATTTATTTTATTTCCTAAATATTTTCTTTCATATAGTTTTATATTAGATTTGGTCCTCATTATTTTAATTGCTAATTGTTATGTTTTTTAATTTAGGATGTTTAAAAATTTTGTTTCATGATTTTTTTTTTATGTTTACCTGATATAGAGTAATCCTATTTTCTTGACTTGAGACAAAAAATTTGAAAATTAGTCTAATTTAACTTTGATCTTTTTTAATTAATTTTTTTTAATTTCATCTTTCAGTATTAGATTATTAGGCCTTGAACTTCATAAATTGTTTTGCTTTTTTTTTTTCTGTGTGGTATCCTGATCTCATATCTTAAGTTATAAGTTAGTCGAGTTAATTTGCATTAACTTGAGTTTCTTTTCAATGTTTTTTTAAATTAATTTTTTCTCATGTTCATCTTTCATCATTTAGTTTGCATGATAGTTGACCTCCATTGTTTAAGTCTTCTATCATCTTTATTAAGCCTTCTATCCAAGGGAGAAGCAGAGTTCATACTTGATGGTCTACTCAAAAGATTGGTGAGGAGGCTACTGCCCAGAACCAGCAGAATGTTTATTTTGTTGCCAATTACTTTATTTCTAGTCTGCAAAGGTAAAGAATGAACACCATGAAAATTAGATCTGTTCTGTTTAAATTATGATTAAAAAACAGACTCCTAGTAATATGAAATATTATATTTCATTATTTTAATTGGTTTTTTATTTGATATAATTTTATTTATTAAATTTAATTTTGAAAATAATGATATATGTTGTTTAAGTTTTGATTCAATGAAATTGCTATATTTTTCATGATCAAATAAAAAACTTATAATTAAATTAAAAATGAAAAAAAAAATAGAGAAAGAATGAATATATAAGAAACGGAAATGTTTAGTTTTTTAGTACACAAACAATATTAATTCCAATAAATTTTGTTTCGTGATTATTTTTTCATATTCGTGC